GTCACAAGCAAATTGATCACTGGTAGAGATCGATTTGCGCAAAAAAGTCGTAAGCGTGGACTCACGTATTCATTTGCCTAAGCCACTCGTGCGGTTAATGTCTATGCCCAGTGTCTCTCTTTTTTCATTCACTCCTGACCTATTGTATTTAGAGACTGCGAGTATTCATATAGACAATAACAAATTACACGGCTCGTTCCTCATTCAAAAGGAAGTTAAGTCAATTATGTAGCTTCTTTAGAAATGTGCGTCTCATTTGCAGAGCAAAGTAATGCTCATCCAAAGAAGGTTTAAGGTTATTCTGTCTTATTTCATTGCACATTCTTACTGCGCATAATTTCACACGTAACTAGGGGCTGCACATGAAAAAATGGTGGCTTTTTCTCCATGATCAGATCTCAGCAGATCCCGCTGGTAGGTAATTCGTCATTTTCTCGCAAACGGATACAGTGAATTTGTACAGAAGAATGACACGAAGTTCGTCGTGATGTTCGTCATTCATCTGTGATAATTTGCCTCGACTCTGTAGACGGCTGTTCACTTTTCATATTGTAACCTTGGACCTTTTACCCGGAGTAATCAGACAGATAGCCAGTCATAACCATAATGCAAACAGGTTAGGAGAATAAAAAACGCCATCAGCAAAGGAACATAATGTTAGTATAGCGAGGTATAACGTATAACGCCAGTTTCTCAAAAGTATCACACGATGCATGTATGGTAGTAAGGAGACTTGGTGTCCGATTTTGGCGATAGTGTTGCGATCCATAAAGTGTACATTGGTTGAACTTCAGAGCTTTCTCAATCAGTGATATAGGACACGCACCATTTTGATATCAGTGAAATAGAGGAAGAAGATGTCAAACTGTCCTAATTGTTTTGTCTAAGATTTTCAGTCTACACTACTTTTTATCAGTTCATCTCGAAAATTTGATATGTCTTTTAATGCTCGCTCCTCCCCACTCCAAGCCCGGATGCTTTAGAGTAAATTTCAAGGCATTTGATAAGCTTCAAAACAGCAAATTCAGCCAGAAGATATCCAAAAAGCAGAAAGTGATAAGGAATTTTTGGGGGATATGCAGACGAAAGTAACCTGGACGACCAATGACAAGTTTAGATGGTAACTTCAAGAGGTACAATCAAATACTTCCCCCGAGATAATCAGTGAGTTTAAAGCAGTGCCTCGCTCATACATAACAACGGCACAGCAACAAGTTGAGGGAACTGAAGTCTGCAGGATAATGTTGATATTAAGCGTCTAGGAAAGACTTACTCACAGGTATGTGGGTACACGAAAAAGTATGCGCTAGGGTCACCTATGATAATAATTGCTCAAATATTTCGCTTGAGAGTTGCTCATTCTTTGGACGCTGAGAATAACAAGAAAACTGGCATTTTCTCGCACCATTCTTGTCAACAAAATTTCGTTACCGCATACATAGGGAAAGTTGACTTCAACGAAACACTTCAAATTTTTTTGGGCACTGTAAACAACTACAAGTATTCCGTTCGAGGAAGGATAGTTTTCGTATATTCATTAAATAATTTAAGAAAAATTTTACTTAACCGCGTGGTTAATTTACATTAAATCAAGGTTGTTAATTATTCTTTGTTTTCATTCTGTTTTGGTTTTTTTGTATCGACAAATAGTTAAACTCCACTGAAGATCTTAGAAATTTCATCAAAAAAATTCTTGCAATACTCGGAACCATTTTCTGTAAGATATCTAACATCTGCCGTAATTTCACTTCTTCAGCTTCCAAAGATAACTTGTTTCACCTGTTCGCGAACTTTATTGCGATAAATTTTTGTTAACATAACCTGTTATAAATAACTTTCTCTGCTTTATTATAATGTTTTAATATTTATAGGCATTAGCCTTTGTGCCCTGAATCTGTTGGAATGTTCGAATATTTTGTTGTGAAAAACCTATGTTTTGTTTAGTCTGGTGTATGTATTGGAAATGAACGAACATGTGGTAACAGCAGTGAAGCTTGCTTTAAACAGTGGAACTATTTAGATTCGTGGCTGGTACAACGTTTAAAAAAAAAAAGGTACATTAGATTGATTTTTTGAGTCAAAGGAGTTCAGGCTATCAGGAGAAAACGAGATTGAAGCTTTGAAGGTTTGGAGAAGATTCAAGGTATCTCTATGTAAACTGTGAACGAATAGATTCCTGACACAAATGAGGTGATGTCGAAAAACGGATTTTTTGTTTCGAAATCTCGGAGCTTAATTGCACCAGTTACAGAGAGACGAGATAAGATTGAAAGTCTATATAATTGATGTTTTGACGTTTCCTTGCTGAAAAAATTGGTAAAATTTCCGCACAGCCTCATACTATTGTAAAACAAATCTGTTTTCCCAACGGCAATGTATTGTTTTTGTCATTGTTTTCTCTATCCAAGAACTGAATGCATAATGTAGCATGGGGCTGTGCGGAAATTTTACCAAAAAATTTCGTACTGAGTATAAATGAGATCATTACCGTACTGTACAGATTAGACACAGGTAAATAAAGCCGCTGCCAGCCTGCATAACCAAAGGAGAAGTATTGTGAGGCGATTTTGGTAATGTGGACAATGACACGTATCTACTCTGATTTATATGGCTAAACATGAGTATAAAGTGGTAAGCAGGTGAGAGAAAACACATTTTAATGTTAATTGCTCTTCCACAGAAAATTGAACTAAAAAGAAAAAACTCGTTGCTAATGTGTTCAAACACAAATCGCGAGCAAACGAGCCTACAAAAACAAAATAATCACATTCTTTTATCAATTTCGCAGAATTATCGAAGTGAACAGCAACAACATATTGGTTGACTGGCGTAAATCGCGATAAAAGTTTAGAAATTTACGAGAACCTTTTAGAAATCGTGTGTAATGGCGTGCTTGTCACGTTATTGTTCACGATTGTGCAGTAAAGTGTGTGCGTGCAACAGCTTGCACACAGTTGTGCAAGTTGTTTTTTTTTTAATTATTTTTGGAAGGTAAAACTGTCCTTACAACGGTCAAAAACAAATAAACACATACGTAATTACTCTCGTGAGGGAAAAAGAAAATCAAAAGCTAGAATGTGGCTCATTGCTACTGCTGGCTCGCTTAATTTTGTCTTATTATGAGTCATAAAACTACCAGACTAAAAAGAATTATAAACTACCAAAATAAAACTGTATCCGGCAAGCGTCCTACTTTGAAAAGGTCACAAATCAAAAAGTTCAGCGGCGTGAGAACAGCACAAAAATATTTTTATCGAAGGTTCTCGACTCCGGAACTGTGCCAGAACTTAAAATATCTAGTAAAAATAGTAAATACATCACAGCTCCTCACAGATTTGAAAGGCTGACAACAAAGGAAGATTATTTTTAACCTTGTCACCCATAATAAAGGGAAGCCGATACAGAACAATCCCAAAATCATTTTGAAATCCAAAAGAAATATTTCGGAATCACTTTTTTTTTTTATACAAATCGTTTTTGAAAAGTTTTTGATATTTAAAAAGCAATTATAAATCCTGATCGAATTATTGGATTTACAAAAACCTTATTTTTGAAACCCAACTATAAATTGCGATACCAAATTCTCTGTGAAACCCAAAAAACTGTTTAAAATCGCAAGAAATGTTTTACTTGCACGAGAAGCTAGTTGAAATCAAAGGACGAGAAGGAGAAATAAGTTACGAACATCATGCACTATCATGGATTTTAAAAACATGTCGGAATTGTCCCTTATCAGCTTCCGTACAAATATCATGCTTAACATCGAGTTTTCTTCCTCTCTGTTTCACGTTTTTCTCCAAAAACAAGCTGTGAAAATCTGATGTCATATCAAAATAATATATCTTTTAAACGCCATTCGCACCAAACCCTAAACATGTCTTAAAGCTATTTTCTCAAACAAGGTTGAACATTGTTTTCTTCAGAGAAGCTGCTTAAACCGATGACCGTCGATTTCAGTTTTAGCACTTTACTAATTACTACTACTAGTTAGTGACTACTTGAATCCTATGGAAAACTCAGTTTTTCAGTTCTTAAACCCGGTTTAACTAAATATGTTTTGGTGGTGTCACTGGGTATTAGATGTCATAAGGAGAACGTACTCCTCAGTGGGAGTAAAAGATTTGATTTATAAATAACTTACCGTGAGATATCGATGTTCCAGCGAGCACAGATGTGTAAAAAAATAACATCAACTAATACTTGAAGAAGACTCCAGATTTTTTTTCGTCTTAAGATTTAGCTCAACCCTTTAACCCAAGATCTGAGTGTTTATTCTTTCCTCTAGCTGCTACATATTTCCTTCAAAATTAGTTAGACAAATTTGGTGTTGGTAGCAATTTGTTCCTGATTATTTCGAAGATTCTCGTGACCTGTTTGTTGAGTAATGAATGGATATTATAGGGAGAAGATACATGTTAAACACTTCTGGAAGTTAACGGGGTTAAACAATCGTCCAAGCGTCACAAATTTAAAATGGAAATCTTCAAATTCATGCATCCTACGTCTTTGCTTTGAGAGTTTGTGTTCCTTGTTTTGCTTATGAATTACTGTGGTGATGACCTCTTTCGAAACGTAAACCAAATTTTAAAACAAACCTCCCTAGCACGTGTTTTTTCAGGAAGGCAATGACCAATACAATGACCGCTTTCGAAACGTTACGTAACCCAAATTTAAAACAAACCTCCTTAGCACGTGTTTTTTCAGGAAGTCAATTGAGTGAACATTTGAAGGCTTGTGGGCGAGGTTCGAAACACAAGCTGCGTGAAAACGCGAAGAGAAAAAACATTTGATTAGAAATTTTGTCAGAAAAACATCAAGAAAAATCAAGCAAAGTCTGAATTACAGCTCTTAAGTATTCCAGTGGTTTTAACAAATATAATTTAAAAAAAATATTTCTAACCATATACCTTAATCTTCTCTTTTAGAGCACAACATCGTTAGAATTTTCTACCCCTCACAGGAAGTGGTTGGAATAAAAACGTATTAGTCGATTGACACAACTTGACGGCAACCAAGCTGAACCAGATGTGAGTATTTTAAATCAATGTTTTGACTATTTCATTTAAGCACGGTGTTCCATGACAGAGAAGATCTATAAATATAACAAAAATCTACTGTTTTGAAGGTTCGTCAATCTCTTCATCGCTGGCGGCGATTTTTATTTTTGTGCAAAACTACTTCCGATCTGTCAGTCTTTGGAACAGCAACAGCTGATTCAAAAATTGTTATTATTTTTTGTTAAAAATGAGTATAAATTGTCTAATTACGGGCAATAAAAATAAGGTTTTCGATCAAAAATCACACCTACATACCATAAACTGCCGTATACAGAGCGTGTCCTCTACCAGTACGTATGTCATTAGCATTTCAGTGACTGATCGTTCTCCAGAGGTTTACTGTGACCAAAAAGTAACTGAAACCAAAGCCTCAGCCTTTATAAGGAGCCTGGATTTAACTAGTTTTGAATCTGTGCCTCGTGAGTAATTTTGGTCCGCTCCTTTTTACAGCTGAGCATCGAAAACACAAGTTGGGAGAGAGGTAAATTTTGCTTCCTTGAGATTTGCTGGAAAACTCTGCCGCCCTTTGCTGGTTCGTGGTTTACGCAAGTAAAGGTATTTCTTATTTGATGTACTTTTCATCAGTAACACGTACTTTATACTCACAAGTCAATTAAAGAAGTGCTGCCCTTTTGGGGATAAATTCTTAGAAAAAAATTCGAGTTTGTACCACGTAACTGTTATTTTAGATAGGATGAACTAGAATTAACTCACCCGTAAAATAATTTCC